TTGGCAGTTTCATTCAATTAACATTCATTTAATACATTAATAAATGAGTACCCAATTGGTGTGTTTTATGAAATTTCATGATGCCTAAAATAGGTACTTCATTAATATTTGTTAAATGAGTAAATGGCCATTTAAACTTGTGTATCCTTCATTGGCAACTCTTTATCTTGTATAGATATGCTTAATATTAATAAAATTTAAAGTTATTTATTTCTAATTCCTGAAATTTGAGATTCTAAAGTTAACTCATGTGAATAAGTTAGAAGATTTAGGAAATTTGTACAATTTTCTGTCAAAAATAGGTCTGGTTATGAAATCATGAGGTTCGTCCTTGTGCCTCATAAACCATCTCTGACAGTAGTATATTTTAAGCTGCTTCAGATGATACAAAGGACTATCACGCACTTTCTAAGAATGAATAGACCAGGAGAAAAAACTTACTATGCAGTAATATTGTGTCAAAACACCAGTCCCATCTCTAGCCACAAAACCATGCATTCATTAGTCCTCTTCAGTATCTCAAGTTTCTTTTTTTCTAACACAGTGAGATAAGAGCATGCTTTTTAGTCATTCCACAAAGAAAATTATAGAACCTTCTGAGAGGTACATCAGAAACCAGTTAGGCCAATCCTGTTTGTTTATATTTCTATTGCAAGTGATAGATTGCTTAAGCAAAAGGTAGACATATTCGTTCTTTTAATGTAATTGGCTCATGTAAACTAGGAGCAGCTTGGTGCTCAGACTTTGGCTTCTAAATACTATTTATGGTATAAATGAAAGTAAGACCTGCTTGGGGAAATGGCTGATTCCGAACTAGAGCAGCAAAAATATGAAATGGGCCTGGGCAACTCGATTTAAGAAAGCAAGAAAAGAAAGACTAATGGAATCATGTCAGAAGGTCACAGGAACCAGTTCAGAGGAACCCCAAGTGGCCAAATTTGGGAGAATATGAACATCAAAAAGAATAATGATGGCAACTGATTATTACATAAACAGAGAAAAGGGGGTGGGGAGGGTAGGACAGAGGAGGTTCTTTTTTTACAAAGGAATATCAACTATGATAAGTATGGTAGAGTTAGAAAAATCACTATTTTATAGTTCAAATGCAATAATTGGAGCAAGGATGATCAAGGGATGCTAACCTCATTATGAAAAATTATTGGGAAATAGGATAGCCATATGGTACCACATTTTCATACTCAAGTTACTTTCTGACATAAAGGGGGACATATACCTTTATAATAGAGAGATATGGCAGTAAGCAGCTTCACTAATGATTGAGTTTAGCATTAATTAATAATGGGACAACCTAACATTTTGTGTCTTCTGATGTGATGAAGTATGAAGTTCACAGTGTGAAGTACTTTTGTCAAAACTGTTTAGTTTGAATCTAGACTTAGATTTTAGTTCACAAGAAATGCAAGTGATGGAAGAATAGATTTAATGATGCCATGAGGAAATAATCAGACAAGTGCAGAATGTGGGTCATTTTATAAGACAACAAGCCTGGACTCTTCAAAAAGTTAATGTCATTAAGAAAGAGAAAAGGCAGCAAAATTTTTAGATTAAAAGATACTGCAAAGATAAATCAACCAAATGCAATGGGTAAAACTTGACGGGATTCTAGATTGAGGGGAAAATAGTATAAAAAATAAGCAATTGGGGAAATTTGAATATGGAATGGATCTTAGATAATATGAAATTTTTTTTTTTTAGCTGTAATAATTTTATTGTTGGTATGTAGAAAAATGTCCTATTCCTAGGAGATGCATGTTGCATTACAGAATCTTAGGAGTAAAGTGCTATGTCTACAACTTACTTTCAAATAGCTCAGCAAAATGAATTTTATAAAGGATATGCACTCAAAAGCATATATGTCACTGTGCTATAATTGTTGCATAGGTGAGTGTTCATTGTATTATTCTTTAAACTTTTCTTTTGTTCTGAAATTTTAAAAAAACTGGAAAAAGAAAAAAAATCAATGTGGTAAAAACAAAGCAAAAGTTTTAAAGTGGGTAGGTAGGCTGGCAGGCCCACTTCCTCCATCTCTTAACTCTGTTTTCTGTGTGTGCACAGAATACCTGTGAGCATTAAGTAAAGTGTGAGCCTGGTGTTATTAGCCAAGTTTCGGAGAACTGTGAAAACCTCCTGATTAATTTAATAGGGAACCTTGAGGCAGAGCCTTGTCTTACTCATTTTTAGTATTTCCAGTGTCTATAACATTACAGGAATTCAAAAACTGTTGACTGAAGAAGTACATAAATAAAAGGGTGGCCAAGTTTGAGGGTTGCCTGGAAAAGTGAAAACACACCAGTGACTTTCAAATCCAGTAAATATTTGTTGAATTTAGTAGATTTGAACTAGTTAAGGGATAAGCAAGGTAAGGATTGGTTACAGAAGGGGAAGAAAGCCTCCTTTTTAAATCTTCTCTTCTATGCATGCAATAATGACTATATTTCATACTGTTTTAACTTTCAGTAATAATACTTTTCTGAATTAATAATCAAAGCAGTTCAGTGGAAGCCTTCTGCAGTTTTCCCTACACGTGGGGAAAATTTGAGTTTGGTGAGAAATCTTCAGAGGGTGGCATATGCAATTATGCTTTGTTCCTTGGTGAGCTATGAGTCCGGGCACTTAATTATGTAAAAGATATTGCAAGAGAGCAGTTGCATAATCCCCAAGAGAGTAATTATTATCTGTCTTGGCAGAATGCAAGGCTTTTAATCTGTAAATAAGCAATTCTATGTGGAAGAGCTACATGCAGAGTGATTCTGTGTCTTAAAGGTCTCTTATGAATTTTTTAAAGTGAAAGCAGTCACTGTATATGCTGATTGGCTCTTGCCTTTGTGTTTCAAAGGGTTTATGATCCTTCCCTTGTGGTTTTAACCCCTCTTGAAATATTTAAGCCTCTAAGAATGATTCCTGTAAAGGGTAAAATATGTCTAAATTAAGCCTATGAAAAATCTGAGTGTTTCAAATGTAGAGGAAGTAAAATGTACTTTCTGCAAATTAAAAAAAAACAAACAAGATAAAAAAAAAACAACCAAATAAAACATCGACAGTGCTTTTTTTAAAAAAAGCAAAGATATAATAATTAGCTATTTTCCTTACTTTTAGGAGGCTAATATTTTTTTTCCTGTTTTTTTTAAAACAAATTTATTTTGGAGTAACTGACATATAACAAACCACATTTATTTAAAGTTCTGACATAATAAATAAATAATAATAAAAAAAAAGTGTGCCATTGCAGCTGATATTTCCAAAAAGAATCAGTTTACTTTCAGGCTATGTGTTTATTTTGTTTAGGCAGATCTGAGTCTTTTAGATACTGGAAATAAATTCTAACTTTTTTTTAAGTTGCTAATACTGTTTGGCTTCCCTCTCTTGCCTCCCATCCTTCCTGTTAGTGTGGATGAGCTGACTATGCTCCTTTCTAAGGACAGCTTCTGCACTTGGACACCTGATTTCTCTCCCTTTGCCTACCCAAGGACTTCATTTGGGGGACTGTCCCTTTCTCCTACATGACCAACTTTCCCCTCCCTGCCAAGTTATTCCTATTGGAGTAGAAACATGTAACATCTTTCCATTATCTCTTAAAAACCCTTTCTTCATCCTCTATTTCTCTGTTCCCCTTTGCACCCAAACTCGAGTCTGTATTCTGTCTTCACTTCCTCTCCTCCCTGTTTCTCTGGAACCTAGTCCAAGCAGCCTTTCACGCCAGTCCTCCCCACAGAATCTGCTTTTGTCAAGGTCCCTGTGACTTTCACAGGGCCAGAGTCCGTGCTCAGTACTTGGTGTCAATCTCATTTGGCCATCTGCGTCATCGGCCATAGTTTATCACTCCCTTCATCTAGAAACACTTTCTTTACTTGGCTCTAGGAAAACCCAATCTCCTGGTTTTTCTAAACCTTCCTCACTGGTCACTCTTACTCAGATTCCTTTGTGAACTCCTCTTTTCCTGTTCTTTTTAGGTTTCCTGGCCCCAGGTCCTCTCCTTTCCTATGCTTTCTTCCAAAGTCTCTTCAGCCAATATTATAGTTAAATGTTCTCTATACTCTGAAGACTCCCAGTTTTATGTCTGAAGTACACACCTGTTCCCTGGACGCTAGACTTACATTTCCAGTTGCTGCCCCATTTCCCAGTGGATGACTAACAGGCATCTCAGATTTGGCATAGTCAAGGTTTGACCACGGTCTGGTCTTCCTATAGTTGTCTCTCACCTGGATTATTGCAGTAACCTCTTGTCTGGTTTTCCTGCCTCCACTCTTGCCTCAGCACCCTTCAGTCTATATTCAATAGAGCAGTCCCCCAAAGTCCCATTTAAAGCATCAGATTATGCCCTTGCTCTGTCACAAGGCCTCCAGTGACTTCCCCTATCAGGGGCCCTTCCTCATATGACCCCACGGCCTTTCTGGCTCTCCTCCTTTCTCCCCATCACTCTGCCCCAGCGGCCTTGGCCCCTGTCTCAGATACACTCAGATGCTCCTGCCTTGGTACGGGATGCTTCTTTAGGCTGAGCTGTTCTGTCTTACAGGTCTGCATGGCTTGCGCCTTTGCACCTCAGATCTCTGTCCCCCCGTCCTCTTCTCAGTGAGACCTTCCCTCACCATCCTATTTAACCTGTCCCCACCTGATCCCTACCAGCTCTCTTGATCCCTCCTCCTGGTTTTATTTTTCTCTATTGTACTTATCACCGTATGACAATAAAAATATTTACCTTTTTGTGTTTGTTACCTCATTTGTTCTTGTCTGTCTTCTCAAATTAGAATGTACGTTTCCTGAGGGTAGAAATTTTGTCTGTCTTGCCCACAGCTGTATCGCCTGTGCCTGAGAGAGACTAGACGCTCAATGGGCGCTGCTGAATGAGTGATTGGAAAAGCAGCTTCAAAGGCTGACTGATGCTTCCCTGTCATTTTTATTGCTATAGTCTGGGTGTGACAGAGGGTAGATAGCGCTCAGGACAATTCACTGTATGCTAATAGCTTTTTCCTGTTCCTCAGTTTCTCTGTTTGAAGAACATAAGAACATTTCTCACGGCCTGTTGCGAGACGTTTGGAATGAGGAAAAGCGAACTCTTCGAGGCGTTTGACCTATTTGATGTTCGTGACTTTGGGAAGGTAATTACGCTTTATTTTTTATATTATATTTTATTGGAGAACATTTTATCAAACTGTTTCAAATCTTGAAGGAGGGGCAAGTGGATGGTTTATGTATTGCATTATATAGTGTTAATAAAATTTCATGTGAGGGTGGCTTTAACAAAAACAAAAACAACACACACAAAGCAACAACAGAAAACAAGTAACAGCAACAACTTTCCAAATGGGATTATAATTATTTGTAATTAAAGCAGCATAAGGGAATCTCCTATGCCAAGGCAATTTTTCCTGCTGGTCACCTCAGAGGACAGGGTTACTACTGTCCAACCTTTAGATAGTTCACTGGGCACTCGTGGCTGAGGGCCAGTGTTCTTTCCTGCCAGTCTTCTCTATATCTGAAAGGCACCTAATTTTTGGAAGTTGAGAACCTTCTGTTGTCCTTTTCTCCATTTTGACGCTTGGGTGGGTGACTTGGAGAAGGCAATGAGTCACTGAAATGTCTGAGATTATAGAATAACTCCTATTGTTTGGATTTCAGCACATATTTGTTGAAATTTGTTGGATTTTAGTGATGTTTTTCACATAGAGATTGTTTTAATTTTGTGGTTATTATGTATACACTAAACATATGTGTATAATAGGTGAAAGAAATATTCCTTTCAAAAGTTATGATCATTTATTATGAAGTGAATGTGTATAGAGTTAAACCTCTTATGAGTAAGTAGCCATGAAAGAGTCAGGTACTTAAGGTGACAGGACTTTAGCTCCTGCTGACATAATTGCATTACAAAAATAAGCACGTAAGGAAAAAAAACTAAATGATATTGAGAAGTTTGCCCTTACTCCCATAATTCAGGTGCTAGTATCTATTAGAGAGTGACACTTTGATTTCTCAGATAAGTATTTTGTTTATAAAATAAAAACCAAGCCACAGATTGGTTTGCTTGGCAATGGGAATAAATAGCACAAACTTGAGACAGAAACATAAGAAATCTGGCTTCCCCCATATTTGTATTACAGCAAACACAGGGAAGCCACACTGTCTAGGGAGGGGGAAGGCCTGGGTTCTCTCTCTGGCCTTGGCACAGAGTCATTGTGTGATCTTCTGGAAGTCACCAGCCTTCTCAGGCACAGGACTGCCTGCCAGCTGGGAGAGCTGTACAAGAGGAAATAGGAAAAATAATGTGGTTTCTAAGGTTCCTTTTATCTCTGGCAAGCTGTGATTTAACTCTCCTGAGGTCCAAAAAGTGATGGAGGATAAAATATGATAATAAGTACAAGGAAGTGAAAATCAAACCCATAGTAAGGAAATGGTAGCACATTTGTGTCTACCAAGTGCAGCCATGAAGACAAAGAGACATCAAATAGGGACCCAGGTAAGGCAGACACTTCTCTGAGATACTCCTGTTTTTACTCTTCTTTGATTCTTCCCCCTACTACCCTCAACTACCCCCTACCTTTTTTTTGAGACAAGGTCTCACTCTGTCTCCTGGGCTAGAGTGCAGTGGCCTCAATACAGCTCACTGTGACCTCAAACTCCTAGGCTCAAGTGATCCTCCCACCTAGGCCTCCCAAAGTGCTAAAATTATAGGCGTGAGCCACCACACCTGGCACCCCCCCACCCCCTTTTAAAAAAAATCTTCTTTGATTTTCCTTTCTTTTCACCCTCTCTTTTGGGGAAATGAAAAATGAATAGGAATTGCAGAAATGAAAAATGGAAAACATCTTGACTTTTTAAAGCTCATTAAGGAAATTTTCATTTTTCATTCAGCTTTATAAGAAATGATGTTGATCAAGATTGGGAAGTTATATAAATACTTCGCATGGCTTTGTTCTAGTGGAATAACATTGCATACTAGATTGATTAGACAATGGAGACTTTTAGAAAAGTTGGGATTACAAAAAATTGAATGTAAAAGAATAAACTGCTTGTCAAGGATAAATGTATTTCTGGCTACTTAAAATATTTTGGCAATAAATCTGAAACAGAGTTAATCTTGAGATTGTGGTTCAGAATTTGAACCTAACCTTGCTATGATAAAGTCACTTACATTTTTGCTACTGCCAAGATTGATGCAACTATCTCTTTAGAACTGTATTTGACTTGAAGAAACCACTGAAAATTAAAGAATTTGTGATACCACTCCATAATTTACCAGTACTATTAATATTAAACATTATACACTCTTAAGTGAAAGCACCAATACTACCACTTATTAAACATTTACAATGTGCAGTCTTTTCAATCTTAATGTATATATTATTTTTTAAATTCTCATAATAACATTATGGGTTGGGCACTATTATTTTCTTCATTATACAGGCGAGAAAACTTGTACTCCAGATCACATGTCTAACAGGAATTGGAGCAGTGGTGTGAACCCAGATCTGGCTGGTTCTCCACCATTATGCCTCAGTGCAAACATGCACATAGCACGTAACATGTGCTTTGCATATGTTGATGCAGTCTTCACATCAGTCCCTCTGTGTGGCACTATTAATGTCCCCATTTACACACCCTAGCTTGTGAGTGATGGAACTGGAATAATTTGTGCAGACTAAAAATTTTCATTTGAAAGAATGTGAAATGTTAATTGAGAGACAAAATAATGTGTGCTATTGTGAATAGGTGTTTTAATAGGATGTGGGCAGGTTATTTTCCTCCACTCTTTAGGATTTAATTAAATTTTCAGTTAACTGAAAAAGAAAAAATATCTGTGTGCTCTTCTGTCTGCCTCAAATCATACAAATGGTGAATCTGGAATTCATGTATACTTGGCACCTTTTTGCCTAGGAATGCATTAATTGTAATAATAGTAGCTAATGTTTTTATAGCATTTTGACATTTTCAGAGTGCTTAATATTACTGACCTCATTTGATTCCTATAATAATCTTGTGAAAACATTCTTCAGATGAGGAAACAAATACAGAGAGAGGTTAGTTGGTGATTTTAAGGTCTTCTTGCCTGGGGGTGGGAATAGGATCTGGAGCTCAGGCCTCCGACCTTTCAGCTGTCTGCTTTTCTTGTCTGATTTCTGTATTTTGGGTCTCACTGTTGTGCGGATGTGAAAAGGAAAAGGATGTCAGGGAAAAGGATGAACTTATAGGAGAGAACCAAAGGAATTTACAAAATTAAAAAAAAAAGCATAAGTGATCTGTCACTTGGCATCTAATTATACTTTAGAACGAAAGGAAAGATTGAGGATACTGCATGAGCCTGCAGTATGATGGTGGTTGAAGTCAAACTGTACAAAAGCAAATTTTGTAACCAAAACGTGTGTTCCCCTGTAATATTCTGAAATTTAAAACAATCATGTAAGTAAAGTATTTTAAAAAACACACTATTTATAAAAATGAAAAAAAAAATAAAGTTAATAACTCTAGGGTAGGGTGTGGTGGCCCATGCACTTTGTTAGGCCAAGGAGGGAGGATTTCTTGAGGCCAGGAGTTCGAGACCTGCCTGAGCATGAATGAGACCTCATCTCTACAAAAAATAAAAAAAAATTAGCCTAGAGTGGTGGTGTACACCTATAGTCCCAGCTACTTGGAAGGCTGAGGCAGGAGGATCATTTGAGCCAAAGTTTGAGGTTGCAGTGAGCTAAATGACACCACTGCACTCTAGCCTGGGTGACAGAGTGAGACCTGTCTTTAAAAAAAATAGACAAATGGTTCAACAACTCTTGTCTATACACATGCAACCTGTTTTTAGCTATTCCCTCCTCCCCGATTCTGATTGTGATGTATTCTGCTCCCTAATCTTTGTCCAAACTTTCTCTCGGTTGGTTTTGGGTTCAAAAAAATCTATTTTGAATCTTAGCCTTGGTATGGATGTGTTTTCCTTTGGAAAATCCTAGAAAAAATGTTAATCACAAATGAATGGTAATTTTTAATTTTTACTACATGGTGAAAGGCACACATTAAAGGCACTTGAAAGTGCTTATGATATTTTGCCTTTTGGTGTTACCTTTCATTCTTGTACTGGCTCTTTACTCAATGTTAATTCACTTCAATTTAAACTCAACTAACAGCAGCAAAAATTAGAATAACTGGGAGCACTTTCTATACCCCCCATTTTTTTCTCATTCACAGTCTGAGAAATGAGCTTAGTAACCTGAATTCATTTAGGAGTCAGCAAAGACTTTGAGGTTAAATATGATTCTTCTTCTTCAGGGTTGTTAAATACTGAAAAATTTCCTGAAAAATGTGGAGTCCCTGTTTAAGATTGCTGAAGTGTGGGGAGCTTGGATGCCCTTTCAAGAACTCTTACGTATCCTCCCTGGCTTTGTGTTTATGTTTTGAAAAACCCCTTCTTTCTTTAAAAAAAAAAATCCTTTTCTGGCTTTCCGGTAACAAAAATAAGTAAAATTTTGTTAGTTAACTCTTCTTTGCTTAAGAAATGTAATTAAAAAAAATTTTCCCCTGGAATAACATTAGAAAGTACTAGTTATTTTTTGATATCACAATAGGATCTGTAAATTTGCTCACTTGCATGCCACATATAAAGAGTTTTCTGTTATTCTGTTTTGATTGTCAATTTATGATTAACGTTTTTGCTCTTTGGAAATATTTCCTACTGAGCTGTCTGTTGGCATACTTACAGCAAAAAGCACATGGGATTTTTCTTTAATGAGACCATTTCTAGTGAGTAATAGAGATGGGGCTGTCCAGATGAGTAACTGAAGTCAGCTCCTTCCCCTGGCAGCTGTGGCTGGGTACAAGAGCCTGCTTCTCCCTAGACTTGTCATCAGTTGTTTCAAGTTTTGTAAAGCAGCTTGCAAGTGTATGGTGATACGTTTTCTTGACTCAAGGAGAGTCACACCTGGCCAAAGGTAGTTCCAGCTGCTTTGAATAGTAATAGGACAGTTTCCTTGTGTTAAGGGTCAGGAATGGCAAGTAACTTAACTTCTCTAAGCTTTAGTGTCCTCATCTGTAAAATAAGGTTAGATGAATATTAAATGAAATAATGCATGTAAAGTTCTTGACAGAGTGTTTAAGTCCAAGGTAAGCACTCACTAAA